TGTGTGTGTGTGTGTGTGTGTGTGTGTGTGTGTGTGTGTGTGTGTGTGTGTGTGTGTGTGTGTGAAAGACTAATCAGACAGACGAAAGCAAATGGTAGATACAATAGATTGTGCAGAACACTCGATCTGCACTCATTCTAATCAATACATTTACATATTCTTTCGTGTTTACTATTTATCCATCAATCCGTTTGCTCTTCATCATTTTTTGTTCCCAGTCTCATGACTATGCTCTTTGTTTGTTTTTGTGTATTATATGTATATTGCCATACGGATAGGTCAGCGATTGCTGGCGTCACTCAGTGCTAGATTTACGTGATATTTCCACTGATTTAAGCATTGAGCATTTTGGAGTTGATTGAATGATTTAAATCGCCAAGGCTTTGAGTTTAATTTGTATTTGTGTGCTCAGACTCTTTGGTAGATCCTTAGAAAATGGCGGTGCCCTAAAGACCTGGCTGATCGCGTGCTTGTAAGATCTGAAAAAATGTTTCTAAGCATTGATCGGTTTCATGTATCGTCAAATGGTGTTTCGTTTTATATATGAGTCTGGTGTTAATATGAGTTCGACTTGGCAACTGGCTTCTACTAAAAGGGCCAGAGGTATAATTTTCTGATGAGTTTCGGCACAAGAAATGATGTATAACTGACGAATACTAGAACTCTGCTCATCCTCATCGGCTGGAGTTCGTCGAGTCGTGTTTTGACTCACAGACATTCCATTAATTATTTTTATGATTGCTGTGTCACGAGTAGAAAATGAGGGAATTTTGTGAATCTTAATTTCAGCCCGAGGATCTCGAAGTTTTTATTCGAAACGTCGAGTAAGAATCTCATGAAAGAAACATGCCAAACTGCTCTTGCGAGCAACATGTCACACAAACTTCAGGAGGTGCAAAATTGCGCTGAAAAATTCACTAACGAACAACAAAGCTGGGGTCGCTCTGATAGGCGTTTCATTGATCGTTGCTGACAAAGTACCGAAACGCATTCAAAATCTCACCTCAATTTGTGCCTCCGCGAATACGATGAGGTAAGCTAGAGGTAACGAAGAGAAGTACAAAATCATTGGTGCCAGCTGCAAAATGCCGGATTAACCTGCTTGAGAAACAAAGTTTGCGCGTTTCTCATGAAGGTGGGGGGACCATCCACTTTCACAATTAAAGAGGAGGCACATGGGCGTATTAACATATTTGCATCCGGTTTACATTGGGTATTTTTTGGCAAGTTCTTACACTAATGGCCATAGTTCACTTTTCTCGTTGTCCACGTACCACGGGTGTTTGCGGGATTAACCAATCAGGTACTGACATTTCATCTTCTCATTATTTACTTTAAACTATAAGACACAATATATGAAAATGATCGATAAACATACGCTCTTTGAATTAAAGCTACAGCTCAAACGACCAAATAATTATATCCATTTGGATTATCTTTTATGGTTGCTACCTTCAAGGTCTTCTTGTGTTTAGAGACTACAGATTTCCTGGAAATCCTCAATATGAACATTTTACGATCTGTTCTTGACCGAAGGCCTCTCGAAGACTTTGGTATTAATTTCTCTTTTCTGTGATCCTTGCCCATGTTGATCCACTAAATGTTTTTCAATTCTTCCTATTTTCGATCTGGAAGTCCTGCTTTTGGCTGCATGCTCGACATTGGAATCCAGTCTAATGTTTCTCTGGTGTAGAGATAATAAGTTCCTTTTATAACGTGTCCTGTGTATTATCATTTCAGCCTATTCACTCATGCAATGACGTTGCATACTCCTGTTCCTTTTTCAGTAAAGCAGACAAATTAATGCGTCCGACACTTTCATTTAACCCTGCGCTTAGAGTGATGAGATTTCATAATTGTACTCAAATGCTTCAAACGGATACAACTGGTTGTTTCGAATGGATTAATATTACATTAACAGCCTCTGCTAGCATTTCATATAACAAAGTCTACTCCATTGCGCCCAAGATTTTGGAAAATATGAAATACACACTCCAGTCACAGAAATCATGGCGGTTCTTAACGTGATACTTTGCTACATTTGCTTGGAATAAGACAACACCTTTTATCACCAACTTATGCGGTCGCTGATGAGTCTCATATTAGCGCAATTATTGCGGGAATTTTCAGGAATAACTTTGAATTAACAGCTTTAGGACTCTGTCCTTTGATGTAAAAAGTTCCTTCTGTTTAAGGCACTATGACGTATTTATTTCCCTAAAGCAATAAATGTTATTTATTTTCTCCTTAATCTGTTGAACTTCCTGAAGGTCGTTGCCAACTGGAAAAGTTAAAGCTCACACCCAAAGAAGAATAATACAATGCGATATCTTTCTTAGACGTTAAGTTGAAAATGAATATCAATATTTCTGCCTCTTTCCGTTTCTCACAAAGAATACAATTGTAGTCCTGTTGTTTCCTGAAGGAGAGGTGTTTCGATTTTGGTTTCTCGATTAACTTAAAGAAAAAGAAATATATGGAAATTGATAGAACCCAGACAAGTGGCTGACTGATCACTCTAGCCGAGCTGTGCAATAAGTAC